TAGCAAGAGTATATAATAACTAATAGATTTCAAGTCTGTCTAGTGGGAGAATTGGCTTTAATTCATATGCATACACACACCCACACACACATACACACACACACACATGCACACAACCACACAATTAATAACTAGTTCCAGCCTATCAGTTAATAGGAGTTAATTAGAGAAATAACTGCTGTTTGTATTTCATTTACTAGTAAGTCATTGGAATAAGACAGATAAATGGGGAGTTAGAAAATTTGAGTTATTTATGCAAAAGAAAACTTCAGATGTTTACAACAGTCAATTTCCCTGTTTTTATCTTCATTCATTCATTTATCATGTATTTATCGAGCACTTATTACATGTACTCTGCTACTATCTGGGAATACATTAAGCTAAAACAAATTAAGCTAAAACAAATGAATTATATTCTAGTGATGCAGACATATAATAAATATTAATCATTATGAATATCTGATCATAAACTGAAGGAAAGGAAAAAGGTTTTATAGCACATATTACAAAGTTACCTGAATTGGTGTTAAGGAAGGCTTATTAAAGAAAGTGATAGTGTTGCTGGGTTCTGAAGGATGAGTAGGAGTTTTTTAGGTGAAAAAGGTTAAGTAATAAAAAGAGAGTGAGCATTCCAGGTAAAGGGACCACATCAATATCACCTTATGACAGAAAGGAGAAATCTAGTGGGGCTGGAGTTCAGAGAGGTAGAGAGGGATACAAGATGAGTCTGGAGGTGGTGGCATAAAGTAGGCTAAAAGATGGCCTTGTAGACAATTTGCAAATTTAAAAAGAACTCTTTACCATCAATGATGAGAAGAAAATGTTACCAAAGCAGTTGAGTGAAGGGAAAAGATGGTGTTGACTTGGATTAAGGCAATGGCTATGTACAAATTCAAAACATATTTAGGTTACAAGTCAATAGTTAGTTTGGTGATAGGTGAAGATAAGATAGAGGAAGAGAAGAAGATATCAAGGATGACTTGCCCATCCAGATGGATGGTCGTGCTATTCACTGAAATAGATTACACTAGAAGAAGGCCAGGTGCGAGGAAAGATTATGAGAGTCTTGGTTCTGATGAGGTGCCTTTTAAAATTGAAGACACTCATGTGAGTTAGCTTGATGAATCTGGAGCAAGAAATCCAAGTCTAAAGGTGCAAAATAGGCAGAATAGACTAGGCAGTGAGTTTTTGGTGACTGTACAAAAATACTTTGAAAAGGAATGCCAGAAAAAAGAAAAAATAGTTGTAAATTGAGACAAGCCTAACACAATGAAAACTCTTTGTAAAGCTAATTCTAGGAAAACAATAAATGGTTTTATGAATATTAGAAATTGTAAAAGCTGGGGTTTAGTGAACAGAATCAAGCAAAAAAAAAAAAAAAAAGAGCAAGACCAAAAACTCCTGGTCCTTCAAAGCAATCCCTGTCTTTCAGGAAGGTGTAACTGAGTTATGGTTGGGGAGGTATCATGTATGAAACAAGAGGGGAAAAAATATTTGAGAGGGTTGTGGGGGTGGCTGAAAGAAAAAGAAAGCAAGTAGAGTTTATGAAGCTTTCTCCATATTAAGATAACTACAGTAGGTTAAACTTAAATGTTTCTTTCAGAAATAACCAGGTTATCCCAGCCTATCTATCTTCGAACTGACACATGAGCATATGCAAGGCCAGTTTCACCATGAGATAAAATTTTATCATTTTATTTATTTATTTATCTATTTATTTATTTCTGAGACAGAGTCTTGCTCTGTCACCCAGGCTGGAGTGCACTGGTGTGACCTCTGCCTCCTGGGTTCAAGCGATTCTCCTGCTTCAGCCTCCCAAGTAGCTGGGACTACAGGCAAGTTCCACCACGCCTGGCTAATTTTTTTGTATTTTTAGTAGAAACGGTGTTTCACCATGTTGGGCAGGCAGGTCTTCAACTCCTGACTTTAATGGTCCCCCAGCCTCGGCCTCCCAAAATGCGGGGATTATGGGGATGAGCCAGCACACCTGGTTAGTTTCACTATGAGAGGAAGTTTAAGTAAACTCATGCTAAAACAAATATCATACATTAATTGTAATGTTATGAATATTCAAATAAAAACCCCTTTAGTTTATATAAAAACAAAGTCATACTTACGTTTTAATAAGAAATGCAAATCACAAATAAGTTACGATTTTACTAGACCAGCAAGAATTAAAAACAACAAAAAAAGACAATTTGATCTAGACCTCTAATTCTTAGAAATAAATAGCTATTTCAAATCTTCAGAGTGTCTAAATTTGCATTTTGGTATTCCATCTGAAATTTACTTAAGTCCCTTTGAACTTTTAGCTGTAAGAGTCAAATAATTCTACTTATTTTTGACACAGAACTTATGGGATTTGATCTTTAATGTCATGTGTTCCTTAAAAATTTGAGAAATAAACAAAGCCCTACACACTATTCTTTCTTTTTTTGTCTTGAAGGCCAAGATGTACGTTATTCAATTCCCTCTTGGCTTCAGAAGTTTTACTTTCTTCTGCATTACAAGAGTTAAATATTATTGGAAAACAAGGTGTATCACATGAACTATGTAGCACAGTATATAGATCTATGTAAGAAATTGAAAGAACTCCAAAAGAACCACTTTTACATTTAGCAGCTATAAGGTTGGATAAAGAGCATATTCTAGAATCTACATTTAGGGTTATAGATTAAGGAGTCCCTGATACTTTCTGGTCTAGTAATTTTTTTCAAATATCTCTCCAGGAAAAACTACTCACTCTTATACTGGCCTAATGGAAAAATTAACTCACTAGAAAATTCTAGATTTTGTCAAAATCTTTATCAAGTTTCTCCCTACAAGAAGTAAACAAAATAAAGCTTGAGAAAACAAAAGTGATTTCAGTTCATATAATACACACTTTTTAAAAATTTCCCTAATCCTAAGGATAATGTTGGGGGCTAGTTTTAGAATACTTACTGAGCATCAAGTTGTTTACGAATGAATCAATAAATTTATGTAGGATATGAACAAGTAAGTAGTTCAAATACTTGTGCTATAAGGCCTAGAAGATTGGTTGGTAACTGCCTTCTTTAGACTTCAGTACCACCAGGATGCTTAATTGTCTTTTTCTTACCAAAAAAAAAAAAAACATTCAAGGACCTGTATTCAGCATTTAGTCTACGACAGTGTCAAGACAAGGTCTAACAATGATAAAATATGACATAAATTATTATTTATGTCATACATAAATAATACAATAGAAACAATCTTGAATCTATGTGTGATTTCAAGTATCTTATTTCAAATATGAATTTCAGTATGTTTGGTTTTAATGACTAGCCACTGAGGAAAACAGTCTGCATGTATTTAGCAAGGGTAGTATCTATCAATGCATCAAAAATATTTCTTAAATATTTTGAATAAAGAGGCAATTAAAAAAACTCAGCATGAAAAGTAACACTTGGCGTTCTACCTACCTAGATCGTATCTAAATTCTCAGCAGCAAGCAGGAGACTCAGAAAATGCTGACTTTAATTACAAACTTTATTTGTCAATACAATTCACAGTTTATACATGGTGCATTCCACCATATGAATTTTCGGAACAGTTATTTGAGAAAATGGGTGTAGCTTTCATTCTAAAAGAGCCTGACTTTCTAAAATTTTGGTTAGAATTTTTTTTAACTTTATAAAAGTACCTTTTACAAGTTAGCTGAATATTTACATTTCTAGCTTAAATTTAAATTTTGGAAAATAAGCATCTATTAGTTTGTTTTTTTTAATTTAAAGATTCTGGGTTTATTATTTTTCAAGACTGTAATCTGAATGCCACTTATTCAGATACAGCTCCCACCACCCCACACCAAAAAGTGAAAGAAATCAGTTTTGCAATTATATTTAGGGAAATTATTTTCTTTCTGCATTTTAAAAATTATATATATACAATGTACAGCAGATCTAAGTATGAAAATAAAGGAAAGGGTAGCAATTTACGGGGTGTATTTACTGAATTTTTTCTGAATCTTGGAACCATCCAAAAAAAAAAAAAAAAAAAAAAAAAAAAAAAAAAAAAAAAAAAAAAAAAAAAAAAAAAAAAAAAAAAAAAAAAAAAAAAAAAAACAGCAAACTCTCAAAATTTAAATTGTGCTATAACAGCTTTTTCTCTAATGTCAGAGATGAATTATGCCTGCAATCTGCATTTTTCCCTGTGCAAAATCACAGTGATCCCAACTTCAACTTCTGCCCTCACAGCCAAGTCACAACTCCAAAGGTACACCCACGGAAGGCGAGGACTGTGCCCTGCACTCACCACTGTGCCACCTCCTCTCTCTGGCAAAAGTCACCCAAGGAAAAGAAAGTTACATAAGCCTTTCATACATCAAAAAGCAATTAGAAGCTGGCAGTATACTGTTTATTAGCAAATACTTGTAACACATTATTTTGCTATTTTCTTTCCATCAGAATGATAATTCACACCCAGTGTTTTAAATCACCTCAAATAATATCCATTTTTAACAGTTTTCTTCTGTCAGGTCATTTATATATAGATAGATAGATTTTCTTCTTCTGACTTTAAAAAATGTATAGTTATTAACAAATGATAAACTCCAAATACTGCCAGGAAAAAGGGGATTGTTTGGGAGCAGCCAATTTTACCAGCCTGGTCATAATTACAGTGTATATATGTACCACTGGTACCTGAGTCAAATAAATACTCAGAGGGGCCACCTCTGCACCTCATTTCTCTGCAGTGCCTTTAACGCTAGGCAACGCTGAGTGTTGCTTCAATGTCCATCTAATTTGGCATCTATTTCTTCTTCGGGCATCATCACTTCAGTCATTTTACACACTGTTTCCAGCAAGGTATGGTATTCAAACGGGAGAAGTGGGGTAAAAGACTGCAGAGGTGAGCCTAGGGGTGGGGGCAGGGAAGGAGAAACCACACATTAGCTAGAGAGGTTCTGTTTCTTCATAAGATAAGGCACTGACTGAAAATTTCTTAGGTAAAAGGCTGCATAAGAATTTCTTGTCAATAAAAAAAAAAAAAATGTCATCCATAAATGGTCCATATCTAGGCTCAGTTAGGTAGACCCTGAAAAGTTAAGGACTGATCCCTCAAAGCTACATTGTTACCAGAAACAATTCTAATTCATTCTGAGGCCTTATGGCACATTAGGGAAAGAGAGAGGAAAACAGTCTGGGCACAAAAAGGCATCTGACATTGCTTGTCATTCCACTCATCAAAGAAAGTGGACCAATCAACAAGCATCATCAGAAAGAAAGTGCTGGCTCGAATTCCAAATTTTCTTGATGGCAGATGACCATGATGGGTGTATCTATTTTGTTCCCCTTTGAGCTCATGCACAATTTAAAAAATGCTACCAGGAACAGTCATAAAGAGCATAGAGAAGTCCTCACCTATGGCTATGCCTAAGGTTCTTCAAAGAGAGGGCTATTTAATGTTCTCAATCACAGCAATCTCTTCGCCAGCACAGTGTGGTGTCAAACCATTCAGATAGATACTCTCAGTCTTCAGTAAGGGAGGCAAGACATCCCTCTCGCTGGTCAGGTGGTTCACTGACAGGGTCCTCCTACAAGGAGTCAGCTCCTGGTTGTGGTTTCCAGCTAGTTCTGCTGAGAGCTTCCGCTTGATGGAGGTGGCGCGCTGGAACTTGTCATAAATCTCCACACTCAGTCGCCTCCTGGTTTCTTTGAATTCGGCTGTGACGTTGGCTGTCCACTCAGCAGCATGTGCTCTGAACTCTCCCACCTGGAGCATACAAGCAGAGAAAAGATAAAGGCGATCAACATGCCGATCACCATTTTCTGTGCTTTATCTTCCATTCATTTCATTTTGGGATTTTGAAAAGAAGAGTGGAGTAATCTTTTGCAGCAGTGGTGGTCTGAGAATTGATGAAATTAGACAGGGTGTACATAGCTTGATTCTATATTATATAGATATGGCTCTAAAATCTATGCACTTAAACTCTATGAATCAAATTATATTTCAGGGGCTCTAGATGTGCTTGTTTTTTATACAGGAAACTTGTTGAAATTTCTGATGCTGTGAAAAGGCAATCTATAGCTTTTTAAAAACACTTTGAGTATTTTTTCATTTGTATCTAATTTCAAGAAGTATTTGAATGTAGAAAAGGCAGTATGATATAATAGAAGGAGGAAGGCAGAATAAGAGTTTGCAATATGAACCCAGGTGACCTTGGTTGGTTCTGAAAACAGCAAGGCTGTTTGCTCAGGTGTGAACCTAGTTTTCAGAGATCAGAAATGGTGTGTGCAAGAGCTTTGTATCCAACCTCATATTAGTCATTTAGGAATTCTCTCTTTCCTAAATTAGCAACAAAATATTTTGTTTCTGCTTTCAGAGAATGCAAAGAATAATAACTGGCAAGTCCACCTTGAGGCTGTTTCCGATTGGGAAACAGTTAAGACCAAGGCACAGTTTCTCAATAAATGTTTGTGGAATCTGTAAAGTTACTCAAGCTGTGAGCTGCCATCTCCTCAACTGTAGAATAGACATCTTCACAGTACACACCTAACAAGATGGCTGAGCTAATGAACTTTACAAACTGCAAGATTTTATGCATTTATTGTTATGTAGTTCTCTTTTGAGAATTAAAGAAAAAATTTTTGCCATGTCCTAAGCATGTATATAACAAAGCATATATATATATGCATATATATATATGCATATATATATATGCATATATATATATACATTTCTCTATATCTGCTTTGTTATATACATGTTATATGTGTATATATATACATTATATATATGCTTTGTTATATACATGTTATCGACATCTTTGACCTCTTTCAAAACTGTGTTCGTATGTTTGTGTCCGAAAACAGAAAATATGACCAATCCTATGGGAACCTTTAAAATCCTCTTAACTAACCAGAATTTCATAATCTAGACTATCACTTGGAATGATCCCTATTATAGAACAACACCTCCATTTTCTTCTAGCACTTCTGGTTTCAGTTTCAAACCCACTGAACTCATTTCATAAGTAACACAGGCTCTCCGTTGCCTCACAAGCAAATAACTATGGCTCTGTTTAGTGTATTTAATTTTTGCTCTCTTGATTTTTGTTTTAAAAAAAAATCAACATGGGAAATATAACTGATAGTGTCTAAATGTTTATACTTACCTGAATTATTGGAGGAGATAGATATTACAATATGATGTGTACATATACTTGGAAAGCCATAGATGTGTGTGTGTGTGTGTGTGTGTGTGTGTGTGTGTGTGTGTGTATCTGTGTACTCAGAAACAGAAATGAAACTTCAAGTATCCAAGGTGGGTAGGAGGGTGGTACATGGCAAATCAATTCTTTTTTATCCACACATAATCACACATACACATTTGGGGATCTACTTTTTATTTTAACAGGACTTTGATTTCCTATTTATCCTGTCCTAACAAGAAATAATTGCTTGATATCTAGCAAAATCAAGCTTTCCTTAACCACTGAGGCAACTTATGTGAAGCTTGCTGGGAAAAAGGTGCTAAATCTATAGGAATTTATCCTGGAGATACTGATTGTTCCTATAAAGGACCCTGCCCATCTATGCTTAGCTATATAACTGATTACTAAACATGTAATTCTGTTTGGGGGACTCCCAGGTTAGAAAAGGACTCCCAGGTTAGGAAAAGACAGTACCTATCAGTGATAACAAACACACAATCATTCAGATTTGGCTCCCGGCAAATTCCATACGCACTTACAAATAAACCCTCCTACAGTTTATATTATTTTTCTATTTTTTACCTAAGTCATGTCTCAAGTCTTGGGGCACTGTCAGAACTGATGGAGCTAAAATGAGATCTATTCTATCAGCTTTATTTTGGTTACCACCAGCCTCTTACCTCACAGCCAATCTTTCATGAACAGAAGGGCTGTGGACTTTCACAGAACCCGCCCCCACTTTACTTTGATAATGGTCTTTTTTTGTTTTATCTTAAAAAATACTTTTTTTTTTTTTTTTTTTTTTTTTNCTGCTTATTAAGCATCTTCACTTTCGATGACTCCCAGGCATCTCAAACTTAACATGTCCCTAATTGAAATCATTTAACTTCTGGGGTTTTTTTTTTTTTTTTTTTTTTTGAGACTGAGCCTTGCTCTGTCGCCCAGGCTGGAGTGCAATGGTGTGATCTCGGCTCACTGCAACCTCTGCCTCCCAGGTTCAAGCCATTCTCCTCCCAAGTAGCTGGGATTACAGGCTCCTGCCACACCCAGCTAATTTTTGTATTTTTGGTAGAGACAGGGTTTCACCATGTTGGCCATGTTGGTCTTGAACTCCTGACCTCAGGTGATCCACCCACCTAGGCCTCCCAAAGTGCTAAGATTACAGGCGCGAGCCACCCATGCCCACCCTTATCTTAAAAAATACCTTTTTCATATAAAAGTAATAGGCTTTGTGTATCAAAATTCAGATGTTCCCTACTTACTTGCTAATTTTCTGTCTTTTCTAATGAGAACGTAAGTGCTATATACATCCTCAGCATCTAGAACCTAGTATGTAGCGCATTTCCAATAAGTACCTGTTAAATGAATAAATATATCACTAGAAATACACATACTCTGTAATCTCATACCACAGTGATAGCAATTAGCAGTAGTATTTATGCACACATGCTATCAATTGTTTTTCTTCTATTCGTGTACACTAATCTTAGTTTCTGCCTCTTCCATCTCAATTACCATCAATATTTTGCAAAAAAAAAAAAGGTCTTACGGTACACACATTGTTTTGTACATAGTTTTTTTCCTCATCCAATTTTAATCCTTTTTCCATGTCAGTACTCATTATTTTGCTCATAGTTTACATCAGCTGCCTGGCACTCCCCAAGGATAATGGCTGTGGCATGATTTAATCATTCCCCTATTGGTGAACATTTGGATAGATTTAATTTTTTTAGCTATTAAAAGTAACACTTCAGTGAATATTCTTGTACCTATATCTTTGCGAATGTGTACAAAGTATTACTGCAAGTGGAAACACTGGGTCAAAAGGCACTAGTATCAATATGGCTTGGCTGTGTTCCCACCCAAATCTTATCTTGAAATGTAGCTCCTATAATTTCTACATGTCATAGGAGGGAACCTGGTGGGAGGTAATTGAATCATGGTTGGGGGTTGTCTTTCCCATGCTGTTCTCATTATAGTAAACAACTCTCATGAGACTTGATGGTTTTATAAAGGGGGGTTCCCCTGCATTCACTCTCTTGCCTGCTGCCCTGTAAGAAGTCCCTTTGCTCTTCCTTGGCCTTCCGCCATGATTGTGAGGCCTCCCCAGCAATGTGGAACTGTGAGTCCATTAAACCTCTTTCCTTTGAAAACTGCCAAGTCTCAGGTATGTCTTTATTAGTAGCATGAGAACAAACTAATACAGATATTTTTTGATTTTGCAAACACTGTGAATTTTCTGTCTGATTTTACTGGAGTGGCAGAATAATGTGCTGGATCTAGACCTCTAAGTTTCAATCCTGGCTCCACCACATATTCATTGTGTGTCTTAGGCTAAGTTTTTTAACTTCTTTAGCCATAGTTTCTTCTGTGAAATGGGGGAAACCATAGAATCCTCCCTATAGAGTTGGTATAACAAATAAGTTAACATACTGAAAAGAGCAACACCAAGCACATAGCAGGCACTAGATACACATATAAATTTTACACAATCTCATGACATAGACCTGTATTGCCAGTGAGAGTTTTTTTTTATTATGGGTGTTTACTGAGCACTATTTTTAGACTCAGAATTCCCAGCAGCCTCACCATTTCCTTTCTGCACACTTAGATGTAACCTCTGCATTTTTGTAGTGAAAGGCACTTTATCACTGGCACCTGCATAGAAAGTATTTTAAATATTTTAATCATCTCTTTATTACAATTTGAATCTTAAGTGGTACCGATAAGTTGGACAAAGAATGAAAACTTTTGTTAGATTTGACTGAATTCTCTTGAGAAGTTTCGCAAAGTCACTGGGATCTCACGGGCTGCGCCTGGCAAACATACAGGAATCAGGAACATGTAGAGCTGAGTGCTTCTGCAAGTTAGTGATTCCTGCCAATTGGGAAAAGGCTGAATGCAACAAAGGCTCAGACTTGTTGAAGTCCATCAATTATTATTAATACTTTGTTATCTTTAATTGCATTCAATTTCTGTCAGAGGCTGGTATTTTTGTCCAATTTTAGACACACATATATATATATTTTTATCATTTCTCTAGAATTTCCAGAGGTTGGAAAGTAAACTCTGCAGGTCATAAGAGCTATAGTAACAATCTGTCAGAAATGGGGCAGAACAGGTCTGGAGAGATGAATGGGAGCCTCACCTCCCAGCTCTATAACCACATTCTATGTGCCCACAGCCATGCATTTAACCTTCTTTGAACTTCAGATTCCTTATCTATAAAATAGGGATAATAACCTATTTCACAGGACAAACAAATGAGATATATATGCAGCCAGGAGCTACATAATGATTTTTTTGGTATGCATATACAGCAGTGGTACAATAAAATTATAATAATATATTTTTACTGTATCTTTTCTATGTTTAGGTATGTTTAGATACACAAATATTTACCATTGTATTACAAGTGCCTGCAGTATTCAGTATAGTAACATGCTGTACAGATTTGTAGCCTAGGAGCAATAGGCTATACTATACAGCCCATGTGTATAATAGGCTCTACCATGTAGGCTTCTGTAAGCGCCCTCTATAATGTTGGCACAAAATGGTA